CCACCATGAACACAGAAATACTTCTCAGTATGGGGAGCGCTGACTCATATGTAATACTGCTGGTGCTTGGTGATTGGCCACTTAGACCCGCAGAACTGTCAGTGGTGGGAAGAGATCTCTCAACCCTTTGTAAGGCTGGCCAAACACTATACAATTTTCTATCCAATTTCTGCCCAATTTCCTTTAGATTTACCTTCAACTATGTAGTGCAAGGGCCTGCCCAATTGGATACAACTGAAAGTGTTGTTTGGGTTTGACCTACTATTATATGGTTTTTGGTAAATCTAAAGCAAAAATCTCAAGAAAATTGTATAATGTATGGCCAGCCTAAGACTGGCCATACATTATACAATTTTCTTGAGCTTTTATCTTTAGATTTACCAAAATCAGGGGCGGACTGACCATTTGGAAACTCGGGCACTGCCCGAGGGCCGGGGTCAGGAGGGGGCCCCATGAGATGCCCCTGGTACCTTTTTCATAGGCTTTTTTGAGTTTGGGCAAGGACACAGGGGCCCCATGATCCCCTATTGCCTGGGGGCCCCATGAGTTGTCAGTCCGCCCCTGACCAAAACCCATATGAGGTTAAACATGAACAACACTTTCAATTGTATCCAATCAGGTGGGCCCTTGCACTACATAGTTGAAGTTAAATCTAAAGGAAATTGGGCAGAAATTGGACAGAACATTGTATAGTGTATGGCCAGCCTTCGTCACAACTTAGAGCATACACAGGGCTTTCTCTGTTTGATCCCAGCAGTCATACAGAGCAGCAGAGAAGCAAAAGGAAGGGGACTATAAGCAGCTGGTGGGGCTACCATTAAAGTAATGGTTAGCTGTATGTTATATATCCTGCATGAAAACGGTTTTCTCCATGTGATCTATACACATAACATTCACGGTTTGAGATGAGGAAGTGAGCAGTAGAAAGGAAATTGCTTCACCTAGCCATCCTATAATCTCATATACTGTAAAACATTTTGGTTACGTTTGGGAATTTAAAGCCCAACTCCAGGCAAAAATGACATTTAAGTAGTGCATTGTGCATCAATTACCTTACTCCCCAGACTTGATTAGAAACATGTCTTCCTCTAGTGTAATGGTTCAAAGTCACAGTTTCATTTATGAGCCAAGGTAATTTCCTGCTCTTGGGACCAAACATGTTTCCCTGCTTGTTATCTTCTGGGGCAGTGGTCTCCTCACCACTCATGAGAGTTCTCCTGCCTTTGGAGCCAGTGAGAGAGGACCAGGGCGCTGGAAGTGTTGCCTCAACCAATAGGAGAACTCCACATCACACGGTGTGGTGGCGTGAATTGCCATGATTGGGGAAAAAAGCCTTTGGCTTGTCTATGCATTGGGACGTCTTTGGGTAAAGTTACCCTATGCATCCGGTGTGAAGGGGCCCCTATAATAAAAATGCTCCCAGAGTAGGGGGTACAGTAATAAACCCAGCTAGGTTTTGACTGCTAACAGCTCCCATTATTTTGATTAGGGACATATGGAGTGAGTATAAGTGAACAGCTGATTCCTATGGAACAAATGTAATCCTGACGGTACCTGTGTTATAGGACCTTATTATTATTATTTGACAGGATTTATATTTTACAGTCCAACAGTTTACGCAGTGCTTTGCAAAATGAGGTCAGACAGCACATTTACAATATAATTCAATACAGGAGGAATCAGAGGGCCCTGATCTTTAGAGCTTACAATCTAAGGGAGGGTCAATGATATAAAAAGTAATAACTGTGGGGGTGATGCTTGCTATCAGCACTGAGTCAGGCTTAGATTACACTTATCGTTGGGGGGTGGTAATAAAACACACTTGGTTTAACCCAGTATGGGGGTTTACACATGTTGCTGGCATGATGATGCCACTATTGCATTCAGCAGGCAGTACTGTCTGCCAAAGCTGACCTATTTAACCTCCCTGGCGGTATGATTATTTCAGATTTTTGGTGCTGAAAGCGGTACCATTTTTTTGCATGGAAATATGTATTTTTTTTATTGTAGGCTGTAATTTTTAGGAAAAACTCACTGAAATCTGTCCGAACAAGAGTCTAGTAAACATCCCGGGTATGATAAAATTTGAAACACAAAATCATAAATTATAATTTAATAAATAATCATAAAAAATAATATAAAAATAATAAAAAATTTAATTCAATAATATAATCAAACCAAAAACACTGAAATGTGAAATATAGCGCCAAGTTCGCACATCTCTGAGCAAAGCTGCAAAATCGTTTTCAGTGTCTGATGACGAATTTCCCCCACGAATCATTATCACTCAATTCTGCAAGTGGTTCTGATTTACTATCGCTGTTCTCTAGCTGATCTAAACCGCTTTTGACCTAAAGGGACACTTTTTGGACGCCATGGACATTTCTCAGTTTCCAGGCAGAAAGAACAGACAAAATGCAGGCAGGGCGCAGGACAAAGCACTAGGAACAATATGTATGTGAAATTGGTTGAAACAGCAATGTTTTACTATGAAAAATGTAAAAAAAAAAAAATGACATTTTTTAAAATTTTTAAATTTCCCGCCGCCGGCGGCGGCGGCGCCCGTACGTCCCGACGTCACAGGGACAGGACACAGAAGCCGGATGCCGGCATCGGCCGGAGGAGATGGCCGGGGACGCTGCAGGGGACACATCGTGGGAGCGCAGGGTAAGGTAAGTGAAGACAACATGCCGGAGCAGTGCCGCAGGGTAAGCCCGAGTGTAGCTCGGGGTTACCGCTTTTGGTACTGAAATGTTACCCCGAGCTACACTCGGGAATACCGTCAAGGAGGTTAAAGTGTTACTAAACCCAAGACCCTGCGTTCACTATAGTGTCTCCCACAGTACACACAACATGGAAATGCAATTATTTTAGTAAATATAAACTGCTAAATACCTTTTCTCATCAGTAGTTAGAGCAGTCTTATGACTTCTATCAGTGTCCAGCAGAGCACATGTTAAAGCTTGTAGGAGGAGTTTTCTTTCTGCTCTAGTAGGATGCAGAACCCCTGAACTCTGTCTAGACAGTGCTGATTGGCCCTGTGCAGTACAGTCCCTTTTGCTTAAAGTGTTACTAAACCCTCAACAGTAAAATCAGTCTGTATATGCAGTAAAGCATGCTTGTTACTCACTGTGGAACCTAAGGGGTTAATCCTCTGCATTGTGTAAACGCATTGTTTGATCCTGACTTGTCTGATCCTCCCCTTCTTCCAGTGTCCCCCTCTTATCTCCTGATAAGACATATCGTGTGGAGTCACTCTGCACATTCTCAGTTTGGTGAGTATTGCTAGAGAGGTTATTTTTTTCTTGGGAGAGTGTGTGTGATCAGCACAGGGCCAATCAGCACTGTCCAGACAGAGGTCAGTGGATTTCCATCCTCCTAGAGCAGAAAGAAAACTCCTCCTACAAGCTTTAGCTAGTGCTCTGCTGGACACTGATAGAAGTCACAAGACTGCTCTAACTTCTGATGAGAAAAGGTATTTATCAGTTTATATTTACTAAAATAATTGCATTTCCATGTTGTGTGTACTGTGGAAGACAAGATATAATGAATGTAGGGTCCTGGGTTTAGTAGCACTTTAAGCTGGCCATACATGGCTCTAATTTTTTGTTTAGCCAGCGGGCTAAGTTAAAACACTAAACATCTTGAATGTGAGGATGGGGGAATCATATTGCTATGTCATTGCATTCTGACAGCAGGGACTCCCCCACCTTCATAATACTCTGATCCAGGGGCGGACTGACAACTCATGGGGCCCCCAGGCAATAGGGGATCATGGGGCCCCTGTGTCCTTGCCCAAACTCAAAAAAAGCCTATGAAAAAGGTACCAGGGGCATCTCATGGGGCCACCTACTGACCCCGGGCCCTTGGGCAGTGCCCGAGTTTCCAAATGGTCAGTCCGCCCCTGCTCTGATCAGAGCTGCAACTGATTGGCAGCCTGCGGTGATGGAAGCAAAAATTTCCAACAAACCCAATAATGAGAAATCGATAGTTAGATCAACTTCTCATGGACAGGAATGGCCATAGGTGGATCGAAATTTGGCCTGACGCTGCTGAAGCAGATGAATTTCGTTCGGCCTATGGCCAGCTGTAGATAGTTCGCTTTTGTTTCTTTTTGTATTGTATCATTTACTGTTTTCTTGTTTTGGCTCTTTTGTCAGCCTCTGAGATTTCTGACTGCTGTCTAATCCCTTATCAAACAGGCACATGGTAAGTGGTTGAATCAATCATTCATTAGCATCTATCCTACGTTTGTGGTATGTGCCTGTACGTGGAACAATGTGTTTCTCATTAATTATAATAGTGAGTATTGCTTAGCTGTGTTGATGAGAACATTTTTCCCCCCATGTGTTCTTTTTTTTTTCTTTATGCATACCACATAACACACTTTTGTTTACTCGGTGGTAAAGTCCACCCACTTTTCAGTGGTTTATTCTGTCATTTTTTTTTTTCCTTTGCACTAAAAAGGGTGGAGTGCTTGCAAGGAAGTGGTGGTGCTTCTGTTCTACAGAAACCCACTTGACGTTTGTCTGGTTTGATTACATGCTATGAATTTTGGCATGACATTCAGCTTACAGTTAAACTTTAACATACAGTATTTATTGGCTGCCTGACTTTTGCACTTATTCATTAGAACAGAAAAAATCTACCTGCACACTCCTGCCATCAGTGGCTGCATTTTGCTGCACAGGAAACCAAAGTGATATTGAAAGTCCAATTGTGTGAAATGCTCTCTCTTCTAGTAGAAGGAAAGACTAAGGCTCCATTCACACCAATGCGTTTTTGTGCTTTTTGCAGAAATGCACTACAGTCCATTTAACATCATTTCCTATGGAACATGTACACATCTATGCTTTTTAGAGCTGTTGCATTTTTGGAAAGGGTCAGGGACTTTTTTAACCGCTCCCCCTCACCCTATAGCAGAAATACTGCTACAGGGTGGCAGGGATGCGCAAAATCGTGTGTGTGTATATATATATATATATATATATATATATACGTGATTTTGCATTACCGGGTAGGGGGCACACATGCACCAACATTCATAGCCTCAGCTGTTAATCACCGGGTTCCGGCTGGTGATTACTCCCCGGCACCCAGTGATCGCTGAGTATTACCAACGGGCGGGGGGGGGAGACCTGTGCATAAACAATACAGACCTCTCTTCTGTCAGCTCCTGCACACTGCTTTGTATGGCTCTGCATAGCAGAGTCATACAAAGCAGTGTGTTTACAGTGAAGCACACACACAGTACATAATGTGAAACAGCACACAGTTAACCCTTTGATCGCCCCACATGTTAACTCCTTCTTGCCTAGTGCCATTAGTACAGTGTCAGTGCTTTTTATTAGCACTGATCACTGTATTGGTGTCACTAGGGATGTCAGTGACATCAAGTCAGTTCCGCCCAGTGTCAGAATGCCCGCCACAGCCTCGCTATAAGCCGCTGATCGCCGCCAGTACTAGTGAAAAAAAATTCCAATATATATACCGCCATTTGTAAATGCTATAACTTTCACAGCACAGTGGCTAAATGGTTATCACTTCCGCCTGGCAGTACTACTAGGGTGATTGGTTCAAATCCCAGCCATGGCACCTCCTGCCTTGCATGTTCTCTGTTTGTTCTCCCTGTGTGCCTGCCTGGGTTTCCTCCGGCTACTCCGGTTTCCTCCTACACTCCAAGGACATGCTGCTAGGTTAATTGGATCCTGTCTAAATTGGCCCTAGTATGTGTATGTATGAATGTGAGTTAGGAACCTTAGACGACGCAATATTTTCACTTTACTGTGCTCCTTGGTAGCGCTGTTTCACTTATCACTTTATATTGCCATTTGATATTATCATTATTATTTTAGCTCTGCAATTTTGATATAAGGAATGGGAATAGTGGTTTCCATCTCCATCCCAATTTTTCAGTAAACCTGGAATTACAAAATGAATTTTTTACTGCCAAATTCCCAGCTTGTGATGTACAGCCAGAAATGGGGGGTCTATGTATTGGAGAATATGGGCTTTGTGTTGAACATATGCTGATTGATACGGTCCTCGCCTTGTCATATGGGTTTTAGAACAGGGAAGCGGGAGATCAGAGAAGAGTTCTGTACACCAGTATCTTTGCTTGAAGTCCTCTTCAGCGACAAGGGAGATTAGAAAACACTATCTTTCTTCATGGAAGATGCTGTGTTCAAATTTTGCACAGGGTTCCCTATAACATAAAGACAGTCTTGTGCATACTAATATCCCTTCCTTTAGTGTTATCAGCTAAGAAATCCATATACCACGGAAGAAGCACAATTTATTATGTTCACAGAAGTCAAGTGCATGTTATTAAATAATTGCATAGGGTTTCCAAGAATGGTGATGTTTGTCTGTCTGAGAAATATTATTATAGGTTAATGAAGAGATGGTGCCTGCAGCATCTACATTCAATCAACAGCACCCATTCCTGTCTGTGGCTGTCCTAAGCAAGACCTACTCTTTGAGGAAACAATGAAATATTAGTCCCAGTTGGAAATGTAAAATACAACCACAGGGTGCATTGTCAAAGTTTGAACTTGGGTTGAAAATAATATATTAAACTTATCCAACTGATACTTACCTTGTATTGCTGGCACCTCTTCGTCAAGGATCGCCAACTTAGTGCTTCTGTCTGCAAACAGTGATGAGATTCTGTGGTCAAAGGATCCCCTCTTATATCATATAATTATTGGCTTCAATAGGTAGCCTTACTAACCAGTAGTTAGAAATAGGAAAGGATGGGCCAGAGCCAACAACCATTCAGATTAATTGACATGAGCACAACTTCCAGCCACTATGTGACCTATTTTAATTCTTTCATACTCCTGGCGAAACTTTTTTGTGAAGCAAAACATGTAGAGTTTCTTTTTCTCTTTGGGTCTTTCTTTGGGGAGCACTTTTTGAATGCACATGGTATTCACTCCTCTCTCCCCCCTTTTTTTTTTGAGAGGTCTGTACTGCTTTTTACAGTGCATCATTTGCATTCCTGAAGACACTGAGGTATTTTTGGTGGATATGGTGATGTACTGTATGTCCATGAGAGGCTGACATTTAAGCCGTGGATAAGTGTACCCGTATTACATATCTGTAGTAAGATAGATTATACTATCCAATTAGTTTTATCCATGGGGCAACTCCATTCCCTAACAGAGATTATATATTCAACCTGATAGGCTGATGATCAAACTACAGTGCCTCTTTGTATGCCGTCACTTCATCTAAAATGGTATGGTATTTTATTTGGTCTGGTGTTATTAACCATTTGGATGTAAGGTAAATAATTGCAATTGTATCCAGTTATATTTGTGTGCTCAGTACATTCCACTCCAATAGGCATTAATTACAGCTGAGCATACTTTTTTTAATATATTTGAATAAAGGTTATATTTTAGATTCATCAGTTGGCCAGATGGTGCGTAGGGAAACGCACCCTCGTCCAGTATAGATTCATTTGCAGAAACACCCTGCTATTTGGGTAACCCACTGTGTTCAATGGAACCTGGCATTGTCCACAATACAAGGTAAGTATCACTTTATATCTATTTTATAAGGAGTCAGTAGTTGCGTATGCCACTTTTTTGTGAACTTTTGTTCTCATGTTTTATTTTTTTCATTCAATTTATAAAAACATATTTTATGCTTTTGATTACCTGGGGAAGTTAGTTTTTCAAACAGCATATAACCATTTTGCCTTATTTTACTGAAATAAGCCATGTTTATGATGGACAGCACATGCACTTTAAAGTGACCTTTTAACTAATAATTACTTTTCCTGCTTCCTGGGTCACACCTAAACTTTCTAAAGGATCTTCAGTATCCTACACTTCCAGGCGTGTCTGATGTCTGGTAGCCTTCTGCAGTTACTTGTGCCACCACCTAAGTTACAGCAAGAAGAAGTATTGACTTGGTGGCTGATGAAAGGAACCATGGCACACAATGGGTGACCAGGCGTCAGGCACATGGTATGGCTCTGTAGTGAAGTAACATACACTTGTCCCCTGCATACCTTGGCTTAATTTTATTTGTGATCCAATGCCTAGGTATTACCTGGGAACTTGACCTGGTATGTAGTTTCCTCTTGTGTGATAAGCAGTGCCTGGAACATCTTTTTGGTTCTAATATCTTGGAAAGAAAGCTCATTGTTGAGCTAGGGCATAAACTGTTTTAGAGATTCATGTAGGATTTAGGCTTGCAGTAAAGTTTCGATGTAAGGACATCATGGGGTCGCTATCTTCCTAGATTGTTGACATATTAGTTATACATATAAGTCATTGGAAAACCATAAGTTAGACTGCCTGCTGCTAAATCGATTGTTGCTAAAAGTTCCTTAGTTTTTTTTTTTTGTTTTTTTTTTTGGTATATTCATTTGCCCTTTTATTAAAACAGCCGAGAGCATACAAAATCCTGTCCTATTGGTACAGATATGCAGTTTCAATATGCCGAATATTTTTGCAGGTAGATAAAATAGTATACAGTATTCTGGAGGTGCAGAGCGCAGAAGGTAACTTACTTCAACGTATGGTGGAACAATTCTTGCAATCGAACATTTTGGAACAAAACATTTAGGTTCTACAACCAAATGTACCTTGACTATATTAATCCCACACCTGAAATGGCTGTACATTCTATCTTTTCTGTTTTCTAACCAGATAAAAAATTAAACCCATTTTATTACTACGGCTTGCCAGCTTATCCCTCTATTTTGGAAAACTTACTCCACCCCAACTATCGACTATGGGTAGATAGGGTATATGACATCACGAAAATGGAGCAACTATTTGCAGATTATAATAATCTTTCCAAAACTGAGCTCTTAGTATTCCCTCCAGCCCGTGCCCCGTCCCCTGACTTCTCTATCAAGATCAATAACACAACCATCAGTTCCTCCCCTCATGCCAGGGTACTAGGTGTAATCCTAGACTCCCATCTGTCCTTCCAGTCCCAAATCCAATCACTGTCCAAATGTTGTAGACTTCACCTCCGCAACATCTCCAAGATACACCCGTTCTTAACCTCTGAAACCACTAAGCAACTTATTCACTCCCTGGTTATATCTCGCCTTGATTATTGCAACTCCCTCCTCTTTGGCCTACCTCATCGCAGGCTATCCCCTCTTAAGTCTATCATGAATGCTGCTGCCAGACTCATCCACCTTACTAACCATTCTGTATCTACCACCCCTCTCTGCCAATCCCTCCACTGGCTTCCCATTGGCCAACGGATAAAATTCAAAACATTAACAATAGCATATAAAGCCATTTATAACTCTACCCCAAATTACATCACCAATCTTGTCTCCAAATATCACCCAAACCGTCCTCTCCGCTCCTCGCACGACCTCCTGCTCTAGTGTACTCTCCCTTGTCTCCTCCTCCCATGCTCATCACCAGAACTTCTCCAGAGCTTCCCCCATCCTCTGGAACTCTCTACCCCAATTTATCAGACTATCGCCTACTCTGCTCACTTTTAGGTGATCTCAGAAAACCTATCTATTCAGGGAAGCCTATCCTGCCCTCAGCTAATAATGGAACTTCTACTCCTCCTACCAGTCCATCCCCCACAGTTACTACCTTTTGTACCACTAGCCCCTCCCTCCCCTAGATTGTAAGCTCCAAGGAGCAGGGCCCTCCTAACCCTCTTGTATTGAACTGTATTGTTGCTGTATTGTCTCCCGTTATATTGTAAAGCATTGAGTAAACTGTTCGCGCTATATAAATCCTGTATAATAATAATAATAATACCAGAAACAAACTACTGGCTCAATGGTAAATTTGGTTAGATATCTCAAAACCTCATACACTTTTGGCATATTTAGAAAAGCACCTCTAAATACAGAGAACAAGATAAATTAAAAGGGACTGCAGAACCTCATCTTGGGTTAAGAGAGCATACTACAGAAATTGAGTACTCCTTCTTACCCAATCCCCCCCCCCCTTGCTTTTCTTTGTCTATTCATTAACTATTATATCTTCCTGTGCCCCTCTTACTCTTATTATAACATACCTATGAGCGCATCCTGAAATTGTCTCCATGTGTATCTAACCCAAGAACCTACTACCTCCAAAAATATTGTATAGAACTAAAAATGTCTCTGATGACGTGAACATTCTTTGATGCTACATGCCTCAACTCTTGTGGAACTTTCCAGAGGATGGTTCTTTATTTCTATTTTACTTCCATTTATTTACACATTCCAAAGGTTCTGTTTTACTACTGTGTATATGATAAGCTGTGTTTTGGTCATGTGGCAAACCCCTTCTATTTCTAATAAAACTGGATGCAACCATAAAACAGCCTGGCAGATATTCAACTGTGACTTGATAACTATAGAAATCTTGCCAGTTAATCAGTTTTGCTCATAATCTACCACTATTACTCCCAAACTACTTTTAAACAGATTGACTCTCCCAAAAGACAACATAC